AGGAGGAGGAGGAGGAGACGGTACTGCGCGTCTCTGCCCGGGTGTGTCAGCGCCACAAAGGCTCCAAAACACAGCGGGACCGGAAAACAAAGGACCGAACAACGCTCGCCCCCGCTCGCTGTTATGTCGAGTTAATATGCAGAGTATGTAATGCTCCGGCAGCCTGTGCCGGTGAAGAGAGAGTTGTACCGTGGTATTGCGAGAACAGTGGTGCTGTGTTACATTTCTCAGAGGAGTGTGTGTTTTTTTGTGTGTCTACTGTTTACTCCTTTCATTTTTGGTTACCTACGACATGGCACACACACACACACATACACACACACTCAGACACACTGCGTGTATGATAAGCAAATGGACAAATTCCTTCAAAAATATCTGCTGCCGCTTGTTTATCTTTCAAGGCGAAGGGGTCTGGTAATTTTTGAAACAGTGTGATCCTGTATTCTGGACTGTACCACATACTATGGAGAAAATTTATTTTCAAGCACGGTCCAAGTATTTGTTCCTCATAAATCCCAGTCAAACAGATTTGGACAGTAGTATGAAGGTACAGGACGATCTGTATGTATTCCGTTTCTATAGGTACAGAATTTTCAACAGTGACCACGCGGCAGCTCGTACTGTCACAAAGTTAAAATACATACCGTTGATCGTCGTTAAATTTGTTCAGTTTTCAGCGTTGTTTTTTTTTTTTTTACTCCTGACGGCCAGCGGAAGGTCTCGGTGCTGCTCCTCCGTTGGACCCTGCTGCTCTTTTGCCGCCCCTCCCCGCCCCCTTCTCCACACGGCCCACACGCTTGCTCTCGTCCTGCCGCATGTTGCTGCTGCTGAAGGGCACCTTGAAGACGAAGAAGGCAGATTGCCCTAAACCGGATTCCTGTGTTTGCACGCGGCCGCCGCTAGAGGCTGCTGGGCAAAGGCAGCAGGGGGACCCCGGCACTGGCGGCAGCGCTGCAGCTTTTGGAAAGATGAAACGATGATGCGGCGTTTTGCCTGTGCTGTGCATGCTCGGGACGTAGGGACGCTGAGCTGCACCACGGAAAATGAAAAGTTGTGGTGACATCAGCTTATGGTCCCTTTACACACACACACACACTAAATCCTTTATGTACTTGGTTGTGCATAAAACTTGCAGAATTTCTTACAGCCATAATATTATGCTCAATTTATGCATCACTATGTACAGTGTGTTCATGGCTATGCACATTTTGTACACAATTATGCATAATAATTTGTGCATACTTATGGCTATATACAATTCTGCAAGTTTATGCACAGCAAAATGCATTTGGGGTTTAGTGTGCAAATTATGGCTGAGACAACGGTTCGCCAGCGATGGAAACCGTGTATTTTCGGTTGTGCTGTTTGTCGCCGCAGTATCGCCTCAACCACATTCTAGATGGTTGTCTCTGA